CATGCTTTGTAACCACGTGTTCCGTCGTCTGCAGGGTTGTCTTTGCTGGGCACGTATCTCCAGTCCAGTGGAGATGTTGAGTCCATGATGAAATTCAGGCGGTTGGCAATGAAGATCCGGTGTCGTTGATTCGGCGAGTTTATCCAATGAAGAACTGTTGTACTATCTGTCCATAGTGTCGTACTGTCGATTCGTATGTCATGTTGTTCTTTGATGAAACGAGACAGTTTAGCTCCGTTAGTGGCGGCTTGAAGCTCGAGATTTGGAATTGTCATTCTGCTGATGGGTGCTACTCGGGCTTTTCCAATGACGAACTTGAGTTCCGTTGTGTCGTCGTCGTATCTGATTCTGAGGTAAGCAACTGATGCTAAGGCAAGTTCGGAGGCGTCGCTGAATACATGGAGTTGGGTTTCCAGTATCTTCGTTTCTGGTTTGAAGTAAGTCCGGGGCAGGCAGATGTCGTTGAATTGGCTTCGCTTGTCTATCCAATCGTTGAGGTCTGTTAAATGCTCCATGTTTAGAGGTTTGTCCCATTGAGGTCCATTACTCCAGGCAAGTTGAAGTGATTGTCGTAGTCGAATTGTCAGTGGCATCGTAATTCCAAGCGGGTCAAAGATTGAAGAAGCAAACTTCAATAGTTTGCGCTGCGTTAAGTCCTTCTTGTCAATGGCGTGAAACTTCTTTGCTTCCACAAGAAAGACGTCCGTGTCTGGTTTCCATTTCACTCCAAGAACTCTTTCGAGGGGTCGTTCCTTCTTGGTGAGGCTGTCGCTGTTTTCCAAGTGGTTCTCGTTAACTGTTGTGAGGAATTGTTGAGAGTTTGAGGTCCATTTTGTGAGGTTGAAACCTCCAAGGCTGAACATCTTTTGAAGGTCGTTCATTAACTGTGTCGCTTCCGTCGGTGTTGAAACGGCTTTGTATAGGTCGTCCATGTATATGTTGCGTTTTGTGATTTGCTCCAAGGCTGGATATTTGTCGGCATTGTCCTTCGCACATTGTCGAGTGGCGTAGCAGGCAACACATGGTGAGTCGGTAGCTCCGAAGATGTGGCGGGTGTATTGGAAGGTTGCGGGTTGGCCCGTGTTGTCCTTCCACAGAAATCGCAAATACGGCTGGTCCTCTGGGCTCACGAAGACCTGCATGAACATTGCTTCAATGTCGGCAGAAATAGCGATTTGGTCCTCGCGAAATCGCATAACGATTCCAGTAAGGTTTGTGAGGAGGTCTGGTCCAGTTAGTAGGTTGCTGTTGAGTGATACTCCTTTGTAGATGCTCGATGCATTAAGGACTCGGCGTACCTTGCCAGGTTTATTGATGTTTGTCACTGGATGATGAGGAAGGTACCATTTTCCTGTTGAGTCTTCATGGGAATCATCAACTTTGACTATGAAACCTTTCTGCAAGTCGGTGTCGATGGTCTCCTGATATTTCTGTGCCATCTCGGTGTTTCTCTTTAGTCGTTGGAGAAGGCTGTCGAGCTGCTTCTTGGCAAGCCATCTATTGTTTGGCAGTTGTTGTCCACGTTTCCAAAGCATTCCAACTTCGTAGTGTCCATTGGGCAAGCGGGTTGTTGAAGATTCCAAGATGCGGAGAGCTTCCTTGTCGTCTGTTGAGAGGCTGCGTTGGTCAGTTGAAATCCCTTCGGCGTCCATTTTCATCCATTCAGCTACGTGGCGAAACAGTGTATCGTCTGTCGTGAAGTTGATTGTGTTGATGTCGTTGGGTGTCGCTGCATTGTCTCGTCCACAGAGAGACCATCCAAGTGGCGTTTTCCATCCAATAGGCACATTTTGTTTTGAATGGATTACTTCTGAAGGTGTCACGAGTTCGGCGAAATCGCATCCAATGATGATTCCGATTTCTTTCGAGGGCAGTGTGGCTATCCGAATGTGTTGAAGTGGCTCGTTCCTTTGGCAGATGGAGTTGATGAGTTCAGGGTTGAATTGGGAAAGGTTCCAATCCATTATGACGTCGATGTCATTTAGTTGAAATGGCTGCTTTTGCTGGTTGTAGGGTCAAATCGCGATCGTCATCTTTGTAGAAGCTGTGTCTGATGATGTCAGTGCTTGGTTTAGCTGGATGGTGTCGTCTAACTGCAGATCTGGTTTGAGTTGGAGGGCGATTGATGATTTAAGCAATGTCAGTTTGCTTCCACAATCAAGCATTGCATAGGCATGAACTCTATGTTTGCCATGAGAGATCGTTATTGGCAGGGTCGGAATGTGGCGAGTCGATTTCCTTCTGCTTATGCTGGTGCTGCAGTTGGTGGTGTCGTCATGTTGTCTGGAGTTCCTGTTGGCTGTCTCCCTCTGTGTCGTCGAGTTGTAGGTGCTGCTGTTGTGCAGAAGTTTGTGGTGTTTCTTACTGCATCCGTCCGTCCGGCAGGTTTGCATTGATTGACAGTCGGCGAACTTGTGGGGGCTGAGGCAGTTGAAACATAGTTGTAGGTCCCTGGCATGCTGTAATCTGTCCTTTGGGTTCATTGCGATGAAGTGTTCGCATTTTCCAAGGTACTGGCAATTGCGTTTCTCCGGGCAAAAAATCTCGTCGTTGATCCTTTTGTCCAGATTTATGTTGCTGCTGGCTGCGTTGCTGGTTCCGGTTGTTCTGATTGGCGCGGTGATCCGATGGTCCATGTTGGTGGGTGTGACCGTTGGATGATAATCCTTGAGTGTTGCTGCTGTTGTAGTTGTTGCTGCTGCTGCTGTTTCTGGTGTTGTTGTTGTTGCTGTTGCTCGGCAAATCGCTGCATGCTTCGGCATAGCTGTTGAACCAATTGGTGAGGTCGATGAGTGATGGTTGTCTGATGTTGCATTGCAGATTGTATCTATTCCATTCTAGTCGGCAAGGGGTAGGCAGTTTTGACAAAACTGTTTGGACATTTGTCGTAGAGTGTAGATCGTGCTGGAATCCAAGTGTCGTGAAGGTATCGACCATTGTCTGTAGGAAGTTGGCGAGGTCCTTGTAGCTTCTGGTATGTCGTAGATTGGGGCCGCTGATGGCGTCGAGTCGTCGAAGGAAGGATGTAACTATCTTCGTCGGGTTACCAAAGTCGTGTTCCAGTCGCTGAAGGGCTGCGTCATACATTGCTCCATTGCATCCATATCCTCGGATGAGAGATTTGGCATCTCCGGATACAAATTTCTGCAGATGTGTCATCTTTTCCGAGTTTGTCATGTCGGTGCTGTTGATGGTTGCGTTGAACAGTCCTATCCAATCTAACCACTGTTCAGGTTCTCCGTCGAATATGAATGATTTGACAATGGGCACAGATTTTCTGAATGTCTTCGAGATCGTTTGATGATGGTTGTGGTCTGTCGGTGCTGAATCGGAAAATAAGTCGGCTGGTTCTGATGTGCTGCATGTTGATGTGCTGCATGTTGATGGACTGCATGTTGATGAGGGGGAGGTCGGTTGATATTTGGGTGAGTTGTTCCTGTTGGTCCCCTGCTGCCTGCATGAGTGAAGGCTGTTGTTGATGATGTCGGCATGTTCGTAGGGTTGTATGCTGCCGTGGTTCCCAGAAATCATTCCTGGTACGATCGCATGGCAGGTTGTGTACATTGGTGAGTCAGGGTCGGCTAGGAGTCAGGGTATGCTAGGACTATGCTAGGAGCGAAAAAAAATTACTTAAGATTTTGTATGAAATCGAATGAAGGAAGTCAACATATTTAATTTCAAAAGCAATAGGCTGGCAAATCAGTGGAGGAATAGAGTTTTTGCGATTTCGTTTAAATCATTTTTTTGCATGTCGCCATCAAAAAGCTAGAACGGCATCTAGCCAGGCTGGAAAACCAGCAATTAGGCCAGCTGAAATGCTCTTTCATGATAAACTGTAGCAGGAGACTTGAACAATTTCACAATCGTAACTGTTAGAGAACATCTTTTTTAGATGGTTTTGCTTCATACCGGTGTTGTCGATATTCGAGTTTCATTGCACAAATCAGTTTTAAGGAGTTCAATACGTTTTGGATGATTAAGAATCCAATTTCAGATCGTAGTTTAGTTGTTTCTTTTTAAAATGATTTCTTTTTGATTTTTGAGTTTTGAGTCTTTCAATTTACTAATTTGGCGGCATATTCATGTCGAAAATGTGGCAAAATTAGCTTCGGCAAAGAATAAAGTTCAAATGCCATAGACATAGCCGGGCCCATTTGCAGGTTGCAAATTAGAAAATTGTTCGTTGAAGCTGATGGTACGTCGTCGTTGATTGTAATGGTCATCTAGTACTTAGCTGTCGTTGATCATGTTGGTCATCTAGTTGTTACTGTGGTCCATTACTCGCGAGAGTTTGACTGCTGGTCGGTGTAGAATCCCCCTGCTAGTTTTAATTTCGCAGGAGCGAACGATTCCGTCTGCACCTGGGAAAGTACGAAGTACCCGTCCCAGGGGCCACAGACCTCGAGGCGTTAGGTCTTCCAGTATCCATACAAGGTCTCCTTGCTGAAGATTTTCCAATTGCTTTGTCCATTTCGTTCGGGTTGTCAAGCTTGGCAAGTAGTCTTTGAGGTATCTGTTCCAGAACTGTTGACTCAAGGCTTGAGCTTGTTTCCAAGTTTTCTTGTCCGTTGTGTGGCGAGGGAGAAACAATCCGGGAGGCAATTTGTTTGCTGGTCGTCCTAGTAGAAGGTGATTGCGTGTAAGGGGCTCGTCGTCGGTTGGGTCTGATGAGACGTGGGTTAGCGGGCGAGAATTCATCGTAGCTTCAACCTCGCACGTGAAGGTTGACAGAGTTTCGTCGTCAAGTGTCCGTGTTCCAATGACTTTGTAGAAGGCAATCTTAAATGTTTTTATGAGGCGTTCCCATAATCCACCAAAGTGAGGAGCTGCAGGTGGGTTGAACTTCCAGGTTATTTCAAGTAATTGGCATTGATTGTTGAAGTCGTAGCTGTGTTGAATCTCAGAAAAGCTTTCCTGTAATTCCTTGTCAGCTGCAACGAAGGCTTTTCCGTTGTCAGAGAAGATGATCCTGGGTTTACCGCGTCTAGCGATGAAACGGCGTATGGCTTGTAGAGTTGAGTTTGTGTCAATTTGCTGGCATATTTCTGAATGAACTGCTCGCGTGACGAGGCAGGTGAAGAAGAGAACGTATCGCTTACTGTACTCGTCGTTGTTCCGCGTGGCAAAGGGTCCAAAGAAGTCAATTCCTGTTGAGTGGAAGGGGTAACTGTTTTCCGATAAAGGGAGTCGTTGTAGGGGTAGATCTGCCATCAGAGGCTTCACTGGTTCCTGTCGAAGGCGTCGGCAAGGTATGCATTGTCGAATAGTTTTCTTCAGATGCTTGCGTGATCTTATGATCCAAAAGTCCTGCTGAAGAATGCTTCGGGTGTGTTCCATTCCACAATGGGAATTTATTTCGTGTGTTTCCTTCATGAAGAGTTGTATTGGGTAGTTTTCTGCGAGTCGTCTTTTGGCACGTAAGTATCCGTGATTGTCGACGAAGGGGCAAAGAGGTTGTAGAGGGCTGCGCGGTGGAATGTCAGATTTCTTTGTCAGGCATGCTATTTCCTTGGGGAATGATTGATTCTGTGAGTGTTTAATGATCCAGATCCATGCGAATCTTAAGGTGAGGTGTTGAAGTGAGAGGCTCTGGCGTGTCTTCCTTTTGATGTTTTCTGCGAAGAGAAGAACATATGAAGCAACTCTGAGTGCTCTTGTCCAAGTGCTAAATCGGTTGAAGTCGATTACTGATGTTGGCGGTTGTGGGTCGTTGTTTGTCAGATGAATATCGGCTGTAGGTTGTGTTGGCGGGTGATTAGGCCAATCTGATGATGGTCTTAACAAGAAGTCTGGTCCTTTGATCCATCGTGAATCGGTAGTCATGTCACATGCTTTGTAACCACGTGTTCCGTCGTCTGCAGGGTTGCCTTTGCTGGGCACGTATCTCCAGTCCAGTGGAGATGTTGAGTCCATGATGAAATTCAGGCGGTTGGCAATGAAGATCTGGTGTCGTTGATTCGGGGAGTTTATCCAATGAAGAACTGTTGTACTATCTGTCCATAGTGTCGTACTATCGATTTGTATGTTATGTTGTTCTTTGATGAAACGAGACAGTTTAGCTCCGTTAGTGGCGGCTTGATGCTCGAGATTTGGTATGTGATTCTGCTGATGGGTGCTACTCGGGCTTTTCCAATGAGGAACTTGAGTTCCGTTGTGTCGTCGTCGTATCTGATTCTGAGGTAAGCAACTGATGCTAAGGCAAGTTCGGAGGCGTCGCTGAATACATCGAGTTGGGTTTCCAGTATCTTCGTTTCTGGTTTGAAGTAAATCCGGGGCAGGCAGATGTCGTTGAATTGGCTTCGCTTGTCTATCCAATCGTTGAGGTCTGTTAAATGCTCCATGTTTAGAGGTTTGTCCCATTGAGCTCCATTACTCCAGGCAAGTTGAAGTGATTGTCGTAGTCGAATTGTCAGTGGCATCGTAATTCCAAGCGGGTAAAAGATTGAAGAAGCAAACTTCAATAGTTTGCGCTGCGTTAAGTCCTTCTTGTCAATGGCGTGAAACTTCTTTGCTTCCACAAGAAAGACGTCCGTGTCTGGTTTCCATTTCACTCCAAGAACTTTTTCGAGGGGTCGTTCCTTCTTGGTGAGGCTGTCGCTGTTTTCCAAGTGGTTCTCGTTGACTGTTGTGAGGAATTGTTGAGAGTTTGAGGTCCATTTTGTGAGGTTGAAACCTCCAAGGCTGAACAATTTTTGAAGGTCGTTCATTAACTGTGTCGCTTCCGTCGGTGTTGAAACGGCTTTGTATAGGTCGTCCATGTATATGTTGCGTCTTGTGATTTGCTCCAAGGCTGGATATTTGTCGGCATTGTCCTTCGCACATTGTCGAGTGGCGTAGCAGGCAACACATGGTGAGTCGGTAGCTCCGAAGATGTGGCGAGTGTATTGGAAGGTTGCGGGTTGGCCCGTGTTGTCCTTCCACAGAAATCGCAAATACGGCTGGTCCTCTGGGCTCACGAAGACCTGCATGAACATTGCTTCAATGTCGGCAGAAATAGCGATTTGGTCCTCGCGAAATCGCATAACGATTCCAGTAAGGTTTGTGAGGAGGTCTGGTCCAGTTAGTAGGTTGCTGTTGAGTGATACCCCTTTGTAGATGCTCGATGCATTTAAGGACTTGGCGTACCTTGCCAGGTTTACTGATGTTTGTCACTGGATGATGAGGAAGGTACCATTTTCCTGTTGACTCTTCATGGGAATCATCAACTTTGACTATGAAACCTTTCTGCAAGTCGGTGTCGATGGTCTCCTGATATTTCTGTGCCATCTCGGTGTTTCTCTTTAGTCGTTGGAGAAGGCTGTCGAGCTGCTTCTTGGCAAGCCATCTATTGTTTGGCAGTTGTTGTCCACGTTTCCAAAGCATTCCAACTTCGTAGTGTCCAATGGGCAAGCGGGTTGTTGAAGATTTCAAGATGCGGAGAGCGTCCTTGTCGTCTGTTGAGAGGCTGCGTTGGTCAGTTGAAATCCCTTCGGCGTCAATTTTCATCCATTCAGCTACGTGGCGAAACAGTGTATCGTCTGTCGTGAAGTTGATTGCGTTGATGTCGTTGAGTGCCGCTGCATTGTCTCGTCCACAGAGAGACCATCCAAGTGGCGTTTTCCATCCAATAGGCACATTTTGTTTTGAATGGATTACTTCTGAAGGTGCCACGAGTTCGGCGAAATCGCATCCAATGATGATTCCGATTTCTTTGGAGGGCAGTGTGGCTATCCGAATGTGTTGAAGTGGCTCGTTCCTTTGGCAGATGGAGTTGATGAGTTCAGGGTTGAATTGGGAAAGGTTCCAATCCATTATGACGTCGATGTCATTTAGTTGAAATGGCTGCTTTTGCTGGTTGTAGGGTCAAATCGCGATCGTCATCTTTGTAGAAGCTGTGTCTGATGATGTCAGTGCTTGGTTTAGCTGGATGGTGTCGTCTAACTGCAGATCTGGTTTGAGTTGGAGGGCGATTGATGATTTAAGCAATGTCAGTTTGCTTCCACAATCAAGCATTGCATAGGCATGAACTCTATGTTTGCCATGAGAGATCGTTATTGGCAGGGTCGGAATGTGGCGAGTCGATTTCCTTCTGCTTATGCTGGTGCTGCAGTTGGTGGTGTCGTCATGTTGTCTGGAGTTCCTGTTGGCTGTCTCCCTCTGTGTCGTCGAGTTGTAGGTGCTGCTGTTGTGCAGAAGTTTGTGGTGTTTCTTACTGCATCCGTCCGTCCGGCAGGTTTGCATTGATTGACAGTCGGCGAACTTGTGGGGGCTGAGGCAGTTGAAACATAGTTGTAGGTCCCTGGCATGCTGTAATCTGTCCTTTGGGTTCATTGCGATGAAGTGTTCGCATTTTCCAAGGTACTGGCAATTGCGTTTCTCCGGGCAAAAAATCTCGTCGTTGATCCTTTTGTCCAGATTTATGTTGCTGCTGGCTGCGTTGCTGGTTCCGGTTGTTCTGATTGGCGCGGTGATCCGATGGTCCATGTTGGTGGGTGTGACCGTTGGATGATAATCCTTGAGTGTTGCTGCTGTTGTAGTTGTTGCTGCTGCTGCTGTTTCTGGTGTTGTTGTTGTTGCTGTTGCTCGGCAAATCGCTGCATGCTTCGGCATAGCTGTTGAACCAATTGGTGAGGTCGATGAGTGATGGTTGTCTGATGTTGCATTGCAGATTGTATCTATTCCATTCTAGTCGGCAAGGGGTAGGCAGTTTTGACAAAACTGTTTGGACATTTGTCGTAGAGTGTAGATCGTGCTGGAATCCAAGTGTCGTGAAGGTATCGACCATTGTCTGTAGGAAGTTGGCGAGGTCCTTGTAGCTTCTGGTATGTCGTAGATTGGGGCCGCTGATGGCGTCGAGTCGTCGAAGGAAGGATGTAACTATCTTCGTCGGGTTACCAAAGTCGTGTTCCAGTCGCTGAAGGGCTGCGTCATACATTGCTCCATTGCATCCATATCCTCGGATGAGAGATTTGGCATCTCCGGATACAAATTTCTGCAGATGTGTCATCTTTTCCGAGTTTGTCATGTCGGTGCTGTTGATGGTTGCGTTGAACAGTCCTATCCAATCTAACCACTGTTCAGGTTCTCCGTCGAATATGAATGATTTGACAATGGGCACAGATTTTCTGAATGTCTTCGAGATCGTTTGATGATGGTTGTGGTCTGTCGGTGCTGAATCGGAAAATAAGTCGGCTGGTTCTGATGTGCTGCATGTTGATGTGCTGCATGTTGATGGACTGCATGTTGATGAGGGGGAGGTCGGTTGATATTTGGGTGAGTTGTTCCTGTTGGTCCCCTGCTGCCTGCATGAGTGAAGGCTGTTGTTGATGATGTCGGCATGTTCGTAGGGTTGTATGCTGCCGTGGTTCCCAGAAATCATTCCTGGTACGATCGCATGGCAGGTTGTGTACATTGGTGAGTCAGGGTCGGCTGGCTGGAGGTCCATTTTGTTGCTGTTCGTTGATCTCCTTGGTTTGTTGGCAGTAGTGCTGGTTGTGCTGGTATCGGTACTCCGGTGATGTTTGTGATACCCTTAGCTGTCGTCTGGTGTCCACTGAACACGTTGGTGGGGGGATGATTGGTTGAATTCTGATTTCCAATTGTCAAGATGGGTCTAAAGGCGCTATTCGGATTATGTGTCCTCTGTTGCTGACTTGGAGGCTGGTTCTGTTGTAGGCTTGAAGGCTGGTATAGTCCATGTGTGGGGCTAGCTGTCTGGGGAGCAAAAATTGGGTGTGTGATTTGCTGTCCAATCATTTGACTCTAAGCTGCTTTTGAAGTTGCTGTCGGAAGAAACATTGGCGCTGAAACATTTCTTTGTTGGGTTGCTGGTGCGTTCATCTGCTGATTGAAAACTTGGATTTGAGTTCCATGGTTGGAGTGCGGTGACGTTTCATGAAGTTGAGCTTCTGAATTCGGTCTTTGTCCCACTGTTGCTGTCAACTGCTGATTGTCGATTTGGAGTTGAGTTCCATTGTTCAATTCTATAGTCGTTCCTTGAAGTTGAGCTTCTGGGTGGTTCGGCTGAAGGTTTGAACTTTGTGACAAGTCGGCGTTCGGCTGCTGCAATGAGAGGTTTGACTGAGGATGGAGGTGAGTTCCATGAGCAGTTTGAGTTCCAAGAGTTTCTGTTTGTTGTTGATGAATGCGATGATCCAAGGTATTGGCGTCGCTGTTAGATCCGGGGCGAAGTAGGAGTCCTGAATTGTCCTGGGCGGAGTTTGATCTGTGGTTTGAAGTAGCGTTTAAGATTGCTGGCAATCCTGAAAATTGTGGCAAATTGTCCGGGGTGTCCTGGTCCATGGTGACGTTTTGTGTAGTGGTACTACGGGTTAAACTTTCCGTTTGGCGTCGAAGGGGAAGATTTTCCAAGGCTTGTCGTATTATTGAAGGCGTCGAGACAATGCTGGCTACTCGTGATGAGTTTAAAGAAGACGTGGCAGTGTTGTTGGGGGTACGCTCGTATCGTTTTGATTGTAATTGGATCGTTCGGCACAAAACTTTCAAAGTTTTCAATCGTTCAATGATTGAGTCTTGCTGGTCCGTTCCGGTGCGCATTATCTTGACTGCTTCGTTATTGGCATCGTCGAGCAAGCTCTTCAATTCCGTTCAGAAATCGTTTATGATCTGTACTTCGTCGGAATCGCTTATGGCTTGGTTAATTGCTTTTGCTAAAATTTCTACGTCTGTTTCTATGACTTTAAAAACAGCATCATAGGTTGAATTCATTTTTAATTGACTTTGTCTCCTTAACTTAATTCACGTTTTGACGTGTCAGGCAAAATTGTAAAATGGCCAATATGTAATTCCTTTGATTACATGGAACCCTCGCAATTGTATTGTAACAAAAAAAATGATTTTGAGTTTTTTTTCTTTGGAACTTACAATCCAAAAAAAAGTAAACAATATGATTGGTTAGTATAAGGATCGGTTCGTTGATTTTTCAAACAAAAAAACCTTGGTTTCGGTTTCTTTGTTTTAAAAACTATTGTGCGCCAATGACAATGGCAATACTTTTTGGGTGATTTAGATTCCAATTTCAGATCGTAGTTTAGTTGTTTCTTTTCAAAATGATTTCTTTTTGATTTTTGAGTTTTGAGTCTTTCAATTTACTTATTTGGCGGCATATTCATGTCGAAAATGTGGCAAAATTAGGTTCGGCAAAGAATAAAGTTCAAATGTCGTAGACAGTTGTTGTTAAAAATAAAGAATAAAGCTGATTTGCGAACATGAATTAGTTCGTCATTTCTGAACAAGTTCGTCATTTCTGAAAAATTCTCGACAACTGAGCTTCTGAAAATTTGCAAGAACCAGCGTTTGTTGTATAACTAACGTGCTAGTGAAAGCCAAAACTTAAAATTTTCAGTGAGCCTGCAGTGAGAAATTTAGTAGAGCAAGCATCTTCAGATGGTTTTTTGTGAACTTTTTGGTTATTTTTTCCTAAATCTGATCAACAACATTTGGTTGAAACCTTTAGAGGTACAATAAATACAAAAAAAATTGCACAGCAAGTTTTGTCTAAAAGACTTAGGTTAGAGAAAGTCTTGAAAAAAGATGTGCTAGAAACAAGGATTCTAGCATACAACAGCAAAAAAGAGGAAGACGAAATCAAATTTTCTACAGCTTTCCTACACCAAGTATCTATGTTTGGTCACGTTTTTTGAAAAAAATTGTTGCAGTGGTCAAAACAAACGATTATGGTCCATTCACACGCTATGTCTGGCCAAGCGGTATGGATGATCAGAAGTTCCTTGTTTTAAAAAGATTTGAAAATTTCAAGAAAAAACCTACTTGTTGCCTCCTTGGTTCCAAAGCAGAAAATTTTTTTGAGAAATGTTCAGCTGTTGCTCGAGATAGAGATGACAATTATGCGCTATTTTCTTTGTACAAACAACTTTTTTTTCTACAAAAAATTTTACTGCCGAATTAGTTGTTTTTTTTGGGAGAACTTAGAAGTTGCTTTTATTGCAAATCATTTTATAAACTTGAACTTGCATATTGTTTGAACCATATCAGCTCAGCCATCTCGGCTAACGTTATATAGAGAGTTTTGTCGCCAACAAAAGCCAGTATCTTTGTTGGTGCGTGTTTGCATTCTATTGGGTTTTAACCATCACTAAATATTTTACTCGGGAAGGATTTTTCGATTGCAGTTTTCTTATCTTGGAAGAATTTGCTCCGATGGTTTTCTTTTGTGCTCAGATCTCATAGCGTAAAGATAGCAAGTGTGTCTATATTACAATTGAGCTTAAAATAAATTGCAACAGAGCAAAAACTATTCTCTTGTGCCTATTTTTCTTGCGTGAAACAAAAGAATTGCGAGCATTTTATAATGGAATTTTTATTCCGACTTTCGAACTATTTGTGCTCGATATGGTTTTTTTATTCGGACTATTTATGCTCGATAACGGACTATTTTAGTAGAGCATACTATTTAATCGGACTATTTATGCTCGATATGGTTTTTTTATTCAGTCAATATTCGCTGATCGAAATAATAATTTTCAACAAAAACGTTTTATAGCCCAATGAAGATATTGACTACCTGAGTTCAAATGTAAAAAGATATTTCACCTCAAATTAATTTTTGTAAAGTTCTGGGGGTTTGAAAATTGCCAAATTTGCCATGTTCTGGACTAAATTATGCACGCTTTGAGGAGTTTATTCATAATTCTGAGAGCGTAACGCAAAATTTTTATGCGTGGCGAATTGTCCCGCACAAAAAAATTGTTCGAAATTGAGTTGAGGCTAACTAATTCGATTAATTTCGTACGTAATGTCTCTCTTTATTGCAAATTAGTTTGTTATCCGGA